ACAATATTTACAATTACATTTATATTTACAGTATTTAAATAGAAATGCTTAGTATATTCAGAGTTATATGACAGGTGACTTCAAACAGAAGAAGAAATTATTCCAAGCAGTATACAGTCTGTATTAATAAGATGCAAGCTGTTTCATTTTAACACTTCAATAACTTATCTTAAAGGAAAAAGCTGTTTAAGTCATTTGAGTAGATCAAAAAATCTGCTAGTTGTACAGTCTCTGCTCCCCTGCCACCTTCCCAGTCATACAAGAGTGATCCAGAATATCTGGCTTTCAAATGAAGGATGTGAAAGTCATACTAAAAACAGTGTTAAAACTTTTCAAAAAGTTTCTAAAATAGAAGATATTTCAGTTGCTAGACAAAACTCCTAAATGGGGGAGGGGTGAGTGGGGTGGATATGTTAATTATGGAACAGTTTAGTATCTGTTATTTTGAGCACATATTCAAAGTGCTTAAAAACACCAGAGAAAAGCCATGGTTTGCTATCAGTATGTTTTGCTGTCAATGTTTTGTCATCAGTGAGTGTGCCACATCCTGCTCCATCTTTGGTATTTACCCTCAAGGTAAATAATTACAAACCATAATTTAAATTACAAGCATGGTTAGTAACTTTGGCTAAAATCAGACAGACTGTAAAATCTCAGCTTCATGTTAGACCAGAAAGGTACAATTTGATCAGTAAAAATAAAAAATAAATAATTTGGTTCTTAAGGATAACCAACCTCTGCTCCTGAAAATGTGGTGATGGAAAACTGATAATAAATGCTGAGGTTTTTTGTATTAATGCACTCCTGGAATGAAGAAACAAATAGCAAGACCTTGATCCAAACATTTTGACATTCAATTCTGAATATCATCAAATGAAAATTTTTGCCATACCTGACGGGTACACCTACCTCAATCAGTTACTGACCAGCAGCATATTTGTCTTGTCCCTGCCATGGTTTATAGCTTGTTGCTTACTGTGTTGGTACAAGCCAAGCTATTTTTGATAATGACAGACAAAATGTTAAAGGATGTGTCACTAATTGCTATTGTTACTTTGTGGTTGTCCAAGTATGACACTTGACAGGCTTAAAAGCTAATGCTTGATTCTTTCATTAAAACCCATCTCAGAAAAAAAAGCCTCTGCATTTTTTCTCCTAAGTGCAGGAAGAGGCCAAAATAAGGTGATGGTAAACATATTTTTCATTGTAACAAGCAATATTTCCCTTAACTCCATCTATTTACCCCATCTTATCTACTTTAGATTAAAAAGTGGTGGGCTTAGGGTCTTTTTTTTTTTTAAACTTGTTGGTTTGCCAAAAAATATTTGTATGTTTTTTCTGTAAGTAAAAGCATCTTTATAACTTTGTTGTTTCACTTCTTGCACTCACTGTCCTCTTCTCTTAATTTTTTCTCTATGATGAAATTATCCTGTGTTGGCATGGAATTCTGAGGCTAGAAAGGCAGATAACCAATTTGTGCCATTTCTCAGTTTAGAAAAATATTCTTAATCTGTTCTAGTCTTATCAAATATAAGATATTTAGAAATTACTTACTTTTGTATCAAGTAAGAATTAAATTTCTATAAAATTGTGATGGTTTGTAGTTAGAAACAACAACAAACCAAACAAGTAGCAACTGGAGAAACTAGAGAGACTAAATGTTATGCATGAGACAAGATAAATATTAAATACTTGTCATTTTTTCTTTTGTCTTTTATATTATTTTCTTTATTTAGTTGCTACATTGTATATAGCTAATTTGGAGATAGGGAAATGACTCAATTTGTTACCTTGCATATTTATAGGAATTTCAATAACCATTTAAGTTTCAAGCATCTGTGTGTTTTGCACTTAGCAGAAAATGAAACGTGCGCAGGTTTCCAAGGCAGCAGATGAAACAAGCCAACTTCACCATTGTTCTCTACTTTTTCACAATGTCACTGTCTTGGATTTCACATCCAGATAGAGATGCTGTGAATAAATTCTATGGGTGAAGAAGCAGAAAATAAGAAGGAAAAGAGGATTTGCCATGTGGATTCATTACAACAATGTGGAACACAGAGTCTCATACACACAGGCTTTCCTTACTCCCTACGGGATATCTATCTGTAGGCCTCTATCAATTTCTAGGAGATTTTCTAGGTTGAAAGGATCCTCCAGTTAATTTCAGGGTATAGCTTGTTTTAGATTTATCTTTCTCTTACGTCTTCTCTCTTCCTTTTCCCCTTTTCAAACCTCTGTTAAAAGGGGTGGGGGTAGGGGAACAGATATTTTTTTTATTTTTTTTTTTAAGAAAACAATGAAAACAGTGTTATGCACGTATCCTCAGAAGCATTTTATGAAAATACCACTGCTTCATGCTGACTGAAAGTACAGCTTACTGTATTCTTCTTGCGGCTCATGGAAAAGACGGGATATCTATGCAACCATCATTCTTCACATATGTACAGCAGTCCCATCATTGAGGAGCATGATGTTTCAGGCTATGTCAGAACAGCAGAAAGGAAAGAACAAGAATCAGGTAGTGGAGAATAGGAGAGAGATACCATACTGTCTGAGCAACACAATTGGAGACACGGGCTGTACCGTATGCGTAGGCTTCAATATATTTTAAAATGTGGAAGGAGGTAAAGAGCAACTCGCCCTGTAAGTTTAAATGACAGGCTTTACTGTGATACATGCTGAGAATGATTCCTTCTTCATCTGACTAAAAATAATGTGAACCAACACATAAATCTACAGACCATGAAGCTGCTCCTTTCAAATGTGACTTCTAACATAATATTATTTTCTGTTGGGTAAATACGATCATACCTGGAAATCACCTTGGCAAGCCAAGAGAAAAAGACAGAAAAAGAAAACCATTCATGTTGTGCTGTGAGGTACTCTTTCTAGGGTCAGTAGGAATGTTAATAGGGTGTTTCAGGGTGCTGTGGCTCTCCCTTCAAAATAGACAAGTGAAATCTTAAATATAGATCTTTATTAGCTGAAAGGCACTTTATCCACAATTCACGAGAAATGAGACAACATTTGTGTAATACAGGGCAACACTCAAATATTTTTCTAAGTGTGACTGATCTTATCACCCCGATCTGGAATAAAACCTATTGAAATTGCATTGTAAACTGCTAAAATAAACTGTGTGACTGTCCAGGACTGAAACTAACTTGTGTCTTTAAACTCAGTATTTCTCCAGAATCAGTGTAATTTAATTGAAATAGCTCTGCGTGTGTAAACAACTCCTTTGTTTAAAGAAGATTTCACTGTTTAGTTTGCCTTAAGTAAATGCTGCCTTTTGTTTGTCCGTAAAACATTTGATTAAATGTAAAGACTTACATAGACAGCTTCTCCTCATTACACTAGTGGCTGGAAAATAAGTTAAAATTATGCAGGTATCTTCTGTCTAAGGAAGTATCAAATAATATCATTTGTCTTTAAAAGAAAAACCCATGGAAACATCTTAAGCCTAGTCCTAAAATCAAACTACATCTCTCCTAATATCAAGAAGATGGTATTTAAAGAAGTGTTGAAACTGTTCAATATACCAGACTCTCTTCTTGCTTTCTTAAAAAAACATTTTCTAGTATTTTAATTGAACTCCAAATTTCCTACACGGCAAACCACTTTTAAATACATTACTTTCTACTGAGTTAGATAGTTGCAATATGAACACCCACACTTTATTGCAATTGTAATGGTATTAAACAACAAAACAAGCAAGACAACTAACATATTATAGCATAATTTTCTTCACCAGCTGAAATGCTTCTATAAATCAGAATACTTGTTTTAATGTATTCTAGACAGGGTGAAAAGTATATATGCAAATAACTGCATTTACTATTTAAAAAAAAAAAATGTTGAAACCAAAACAAAAAGGATTGTGTTTGATCCTTTCTCCTTTGGAAAAACTCTTAAATTCTCTTTCAGACTAACCAAACAGAATTTAGGTCCAGTCAGGAAAAAAGCAAGCGTAACAATTTTTTCCTGTCAAAAGGACCACTCGCAATGCACAATCCGTAATGAATTTTGCAGCTTAAGATCTTTATGCTGGTAGTATTTATGGGATACCTTTTACTTGTATTGTCTAAAACACAGTAAGTAGCAATGGAACAGAAAGTCACCAGACGTGGAAGGCAGGATAATCCTTACCACTTTAAAGTGTGATGTGTAGCTGGGTGGGGGTTTTTTGTTTGCTTGGGTTTTTTATGTACCTTGGGAAAGCTTTTCAGATTCAGGATAGAGATGCCAAAGGAGAGACAGCCAAGCATCCCTCATTCTCAAGTCAGTCAACTGTTTACAACGCAAAGGGTGAAATCCATGTTATTTCTGACTGCTCTTACTCACCCTAGGTAAACTCTTAGCTATTCTGTAATCTTTCTTCAAGATTTCAAGTTAGGTGTCAGTGTTGAACAAAACCTCAGAAATGCTCATTAAGCTAAATTTTAGGTTTTGTATCTAGTCCAATTCAAGAGATTTTTTAAGTCCTTAGGTCAATATGGGAATAATAACTTCTAGTGGTAAGTGGCTTTAGTATTAATTTTTGAACAAATGTAAATATGTTGTTGTTCTTAAATAATTAAAGGATTTTTAAATAATTATGCAATTCTGGTAAAGCTCTCATGTCAAAATACTGCAGTTAATTGTTACTTCTTCCTTTATGGTAAACATTGAGATTTATTCCTTTCATTCGGAGTTGGATTATGTAAAAGAAAAAGATCCCACCTTCTGCTCTCACCTCCCCAAAAAATGGTGTAAATTACCTTTTCAAGGGTAAGAGTTGATGGATATTATGCAGGACTTAATCCATCTTTTTTCAAAGTTAACTCAAAAGGTGCTTACTGCCATCGGTAGAGGTTGAAGTAAATTCCTGTGTTGGAGGCCTAGAAATTCTTGTATGTTAAGCATTAAATAAATGTTTTTATTTTTATGAACCAGGTACACAATTATACTTGTATTCTCTTTATATATATATATATATATTTGCCTCCTTTGATTAGGCAATGCTGGATGTTGCAGCACATCATGGCTGGCTGGTGACTGCTCTGAATATAACCAATCTGGTGCAGATGGTGGTTCAGGGTAGATGGATACATGACTCTTCCCTGCTTACTTTGCCCAATATAGAGCTACATCACCTTTACCTTTTTCGGTATGTAATTCTTCTAAGCTTTTGCAGGTTTGCAATTTAATTCCACCTCTGATTGCTGATTGGTTTTGAATGTCATTGTTGTGCCCAGGAATGTTCATTAATGCACCACAAGCAGAACTCATTCTTTCGCTGTGATGCTTTCCCAAATGGAGTTTCTGTTTCTGTTTTCAATATTCATTGATTAATTAACCCCCACAGATTATTTTGAGAACCATGATTCCAGACAAATTAATGAGAGATCACTGGAAGAGTTCCAGGTCCTAACAAATCTAACTCTGTATATTAATTATCTCTTTATTTTAATCCATTATAAAAATACACTAGTATCCATCTTAATATCATAGATAATGCTAAGCTCTATAGATGCCTACATGACTCAGTAATTAATGCTACCCAAAAATAAATGACCAGCATTTAATAACAGAAACCAGTATCAAGTTTTACCACCAAAACAACTGAAAACAATTGTTTGCTTTCCCTCCTGGGGCATGTTTTGCTGTCTGTATCAGGAGGTGGAGCCAGGGCAAAAAGAAGAGTGTGCCTGGAGGTTACCAAGGACCTATCGAGTGTCTTCCCGAACTAATGGCTGCCTGCGAAGGAAAAGAGAATGTTTTTGCTTCCATTGTGGACAGTGAATTGCAAACAGCACAGATTTCACAGGTAATACTTTCTATCCATGGTCATTATCAATGTTATTGGAAAGGAAGAGTAGTTGGGAAAAGAAATACTTTCTTCACTTCCCTTCAGCAAACACTATACAATGTTCTGTATAAAGTGCAACACATCCACTCCTCTAATTTCAAGGTACTACTGGCTTCACAGGGTTTCTTCTCTGCCTGTTTTCTTAATATCTTTTTCACTCATTCCCTTTTAACCAGTAACAGAGTCTGGTTTATGGCTGATATTACCAGATCTATTTGCTCTAAAGATGCTTCTCTAGGTCATTCAATCCGCTGAGTGTTATCCACCCTTTCATAGCCAGCTATGCACTAGGAATACATGCATTGCAAATGTCATCGTAGCTGGTTTCTGAAGTGGTCTGTCAAACACCATTTTTTCTGACAATACCCTTCATAAAAGATCCAGCACTCATTTTCTATTTGAAACAGAAAAAGCAGATGAAATTTTCACACTTCACAGGGGGAAGAAAAAAATACTATCTCAAAATGTTGAGGCTGCTTGGTTTTCAAGCCACTTCCAGCAAAGGGCAGCTGTATTCCATAGTATTAATCACATGCTAAGACTATTCATTTCAAATAAATGTATGAAAGATGAAAACTTCAAAAGCTATACTTCAGATGTTTTTTATCTGAATATTTAAAAGGACAGCAATATGTCCTGTGTTTGACTGTTCAGCTTCAGTTAAACCTTTTACTGGTATGCAAACAAGAAAAGTACTTAAATGTCTGTAACAGACATCTGCATTTGTAACTAAATTAACATCAAAATTTTGAATTAAGGAAATGTATTGACATGAAACAAGGCTTCCTTTAACAACAGATTTCTAACATAATACACATTGATTTCAGTCCAACTTTCAGATGTGATAAAAAATAAGAACATTGTTATAATTAGTTCAGGGAGAACTCAGAAGTAAACTTACTTAATTTATTTGCATAAATTGCCATTCTGTTATCTTTAAAAGCAAATGCAAATTGGCTCTGTCTGATATGATGATGGTTATTTGGCTCAAAAGTGCTTCAATTTGCGTAGCAATCTGGTGTCGTCTCTGCAGTGAGGCGATCCCAGGTAACATACAAATCCTGAATTATTCCAGAAATTAGTATGTTTAAAGCATCAATTTAAGTGCTAATTGCAGTAGTAATGAGAAAAAGCAGTACTACTGTGAGATTTGCATCTACTGCCCCATCAGTATGCCTGGAATGGCTGCTGACTGGCAGAGGATTTGGCTGCTAATTAAATAATTGTATGCATGGCAGTGTTCTCGTCTGATTCAATAGATGAAGATTAATCCTCAGATAAATATGTTTGGCTGGTATTGAAATGTCTTAGCAGTTTCTTCAAAAATAGCTTGTGTGTATGTGGTGTGTACATTCACACTGTGAATGACTCTATGCCTCTATATGTCTATGTTTGTAAATACAGATGCACATCAGAGGGAAAAACATAATGTCTTAGCATCATATAAGGAGAAAGTTTCATTTTCATGAGTTGGGAATGGCCATATTGGGTGTAGCAAAGCCATGACTGTATTATGCAGGTCGTTGCAAATGTGAAACTTTCATACCAACATTCTGTATTCTTTATGGCATTTTTTTTTCCAGAAAAAAACTATTGCAATACCTTGTAGAGAATTAAAATTCACATTGAGACTGCCTGTTGAGTGCCTTCATATGTAAAGTCTTTCAGTGCACGTTTAGACAGGGGCCAACCAAGAGAAAAATTCTTCAATAAATAATGCATCTTTATGATTTATTTTCTATAATGAAAGAATATAAGATTACAGAGTTTAAGCCTACCACTCTGGCTCCAGACCTGAACAAAGTCAAAGTGGTAACTATACCACTAAATTGCCAAAAACATTATTTTCCTAACAAAACCTTTTAATTCTCACTCACAGTATATTGAACCTATATCTTAAACCTGTTACAGTCTGAGCTTTACATAAATTTGAGGCAGACAGGAAGAGGAGGAAACTGCACATTTGGAAAGAAGAAAATGTCTTTTAAGCAGATTGGTAATTAATTTTTAAATAGCAGCTCTTGAAGCTGTTCATGGATTTGGAATATTAGGCTAAATCCTGGGGAGACAGATTATTGGCAAAAATGCTAATGATGTTATCAAAGGTTCATGAAGAATTTCTCATGTGAATATGATTTGAATCTATGGGTTTGGTAGGTAAATATATATATAGTATATATGTACATGCACACATTGGGCATTTAACAGGAGATAATATGTGCTTGTGTCATCCTATACTGCAAAAAAAACAGTAACATTGTCAAGAAATACCTAAGTGATGTGGGAGCCTGAGTTTAGTTTTCCAAAAGTTAGTTACAATCCTACACCTCATTGAGAGTCAGCAGGGCTTTAAAAGCTGACAGCCTAAACTCAAAAACTATTTAGACTGCAACTCTGATCTTTGACCTAAGATCCTTGTTTGTTTCAGTGATTCATTCTGAATCATATTTCTTTAGCAAATATTTTTCAGTTTCTAAGTCACTTAGGCATTAGGTACCTTTAAGAATAGTAAGCTGATATTTATATTATTGAAAGACAAAAAAGAAACCTCAAGATTGAAGAAAATACTATCCCTGCTGTAGTATTAGCTGCTTTTACTCTGGAAGTATCTATGTTCCTATCATCTTTTTCATTTTCCTCTGCTACTACTTGACTTTTTTCCTCAGGAAGAAAAGCATTTCTTCATTTTTTTCCATATTGCATGGATGATAAAAAGGCAGCCTGCTGTCCATACTGCATCAGTGATCAAGCAGTACTAACCTTGCCTTTAATTTTCAAATATACAAGGCCTGGCACATGACATAACTACTTTTTTATCTAGTTAGAAAGTTACTCAGAGGTACTTTGTTTTGTTTGCATTGTAAAAGCTACATGAGGACATTACAGCCTTTGATAAACAGAATATGTTGAGGTTGTACAGTATAAACCAGACCAAATCATAGTCTTCAACAGAGCGACAGCTAATGCCACTACATTATGATCTCTGCTGAAATTAAACTTTGTTCTAACATAATTGTAACAAGTATTGTCCTCTGAGATAGTACACATGAAAGTTTTCCAGGTAAATGATTATCTAAAGTATAACCAAAGGGGTGATCACCACATTGGTATATATTAGGGTGCCACAGCATAAGTACACTGCTTTGGTGCACGGAGAGCTTCACACAGTAGGTCTGTACAGTTCCTACAGTCAGCTTTGTCTTAAAAACCTTTACATTAAACACAAAATCATTTACCAGTTAAGGTGTCAACACTGCTCAAGTTGTCTCATCCAGTGTGATCTGCTGGAGGTAATTTTAGTAATGTCTTCTGTGTTAAATGTAGCGAAATTCTGGCAACAACTAATTAAGAACATCCATGGTATTATTTCTTCTTCTTCAAAGTGCTGCCTTTTTTTCCCCCTTTTCCCTTTCATAGTTGGGACAGAGTGATATCTTTTCCCTGAATGTTCTAGCTGTTTAATTTCTGTTACAGTTTTCCTGTCCTTTCTTAGCTAAGGTACTATTAAGAACAGCAGCGCAATTCATCGGTGTCCCCTGCTTTTACACTGCAGTTCCTGTGCACTCACAGCTGGCCCTCCCCACCTTCTCCATTCAGCAGACACAGCTGTTCATGCAGCACACAGAAGAGGGAAGAGAGAGAGAGAGAGATTAGTTGTAGCCTAAATCAGTTTTCTCATTTAGTTCAGCCAGGCTCTGGTAATGCAGCCATTTTAATCCAACATAAGTCTGCGCTGCAGCCGAAATGGGCAGCCCTGCCCTCCCCGTGCCATTTTCACCTCTCCTGACCTCGCTCACTGCACAGCTGCACAAACGCTGCGGCTGGTTCGGGCGAGGAGGTGGGAACAAGCATCTGGGGACGAGGGGCGGAGGGATCATATCAGCCCTCTCGCTGACAGTCAAAATGGCCTGTAGCCAAGTGGCTACGTGAATGCTGGTGCCAGCAGGGGAGGAGGCTGGACCACTTCTTTCAGTGGCACTGAAGGTTCATGCGTATTCAGAGTGCTCACAGGATTAGAGAATATGCTTCCGCAATCAGCTTTAAGCTGATCTAAGTTCGTGCTGTCACCAAAATGATTAGCAAGCTGATCCATCGAGCTGCACAATCACAGCACGGTTGTGCCAACGTCGCGGGGATGGGGAGGCACAGCTCGCTGGCAAGGAGCGTGTTGGACAGAGGACGGCACCACCTTTTCCTACGGCAGCGTGATCTTAGGTCTGCTTACCCTGGTTGCTGTATCCATAACTATATATTAACATACACCATTATTGTCAGCATGAATCATGGCAATGATGTCTCCAAAAAGCAAACTGAGCTTTTACTAGGGCTCTGTGCCTTCCAGCACAGAAAAGATAATCATGAGACGCATCAAGCACAATCAAAAGCAAAACAGATTTTGTTGAAACACAAGATGGTCAAACCAATACATTAAAAATAAAATAGACTTTTAGCCTTTTTCCAGATAAAACATTTCTGTTCCATGCCAGTATTGCCCAAGCAACTATGGCTACCCTCTTCATTCCCACAAGTTCCCGTTTTGACATCTGCTGGCTCTTTACCAAGACCAATATTCTTCTTTCCTTCTTCTCCTTCCCACCCTCTAGTTTTTCATATGTGTCCTTGGAAAACATGGGTGAAGTGCTGATTCCTATTTTGGTTTGGGGATGGAGGGGAAGGAGGGCAGGGCAGAGGGTGGTTCTTGGTTTTCTGTTTGTTTCTCTTCCAGTACCAGCCTCATCTATCTTTTTCAGCCCTGCTGAGGCCACAAATCACTGCCTCCATTCCACAGCCCATTTTTCCATTTCTTCTTCCTAACAAATTTTATTGAGTGAACATACTGATTTTCTTTTTATTAAACGAAAGTCTGTATTACTCCCCTCCACGTTTGTCACAGCTTCTCAGAGCTGCTTTTCCTTGTCTGATGGAGACCAAAATGAGAGATACATAGGGCTGCATTTTCAGGATGCCTCTTTAGGGTTGAAGAGAGTGTCATGTTAAGCTACGCAAATTGTATGCCTCTAACAACAGCTCTCTGTAACAAGGATGACAGAAAGCTGAGGGCTTGTTGCAGTTCATGAGAAACCACCAAGACTTAAGATTTCTTGGGAGGATTGTAAGAAGGAGGGTTCATGAAGATCGTTGCAAGAAAAACCTTGAAAAAAAAATTAGGAATAACTCTGGATATGCAGTTGAACTTTTGGTTAATTATCTGAACTGATCCTCTGAACTCTCTGAGGTTTGCCCATTGCTAATTAGCACTGCAGTGACTTGTTCTGTATGGATTATGCTAAGGAAGTTTAATTTAAAACCTAATTATACTAGTTTTTAAGTGGCTTATAGGGAAAAACTACTTTAATCGGGAGGGTAAGGAATTTTTCCTGTGTTCAGACGTCAGTAACCTTAGTGAGGCATGTGTAACATGCTTGAGGAGTCTCACATTTGTTTTACTTGCTTAGAAGAAAGTAGAGTAAGAGGTTAATGTAAAGTATTTTATGCTTATAATTGAGTCTCATACAATTCTATATTATATTCTAATACATAATAAAATATTATTGGTATAGAATAAATATGTAGACTGCACATTGAATTGTTATTGTTACAGTGACAATGGTCTGAGCTGTATAGATTGTCTTGTAATCCACAGGGATCTGGTTTTTTCTACAGGCTTGGAATTTCTTGTGCCGTTTGCCAATTGTAAACGTCAGCCTGAGCATTAAGGGCTGTTGGGATGACCCGGTTCAGCCACAGAATGAAGTGCCTGTTCCTTCTTTGACAACTGACACGCGAGATGACCAGAGATGGATCAAATTGCACGCTGATCAAGAGTATGTGCTCCAAATAAACCTGCAGAGAACCCAGATGGGGTATCAGGTAGATTAATTTATCATTTCCTTCCCAAGTGCACAAGTTTCCAATAAGCATTTACATTATCAATAATGCTTTATACAGCATAACAGGGTTTTTATGGTTTAAGTATGAGGTAAATGATAAACACTTCCAAAGCTTTTTCTGTGTTAGCAATCAAGAAAATGGTTTTTCAAGTTGCAATAGGGTTGTAAATAGACTCTGAAGTTAAAATCCCAGGCCAACTCAAGTCCATGAAAAAAATCTCTCATTATTTTTTACAAATCAGAAACCCATAAAGTTCATTTGCTTGGGGGGACTATAAGCAGTGATAGGAGAGCTGGTAATTTCACAGGCAGTACTTACGTACTCGCCAACCCCAAACTCCTACCACTCATACTCCTGCATATCCTGCTTCCTCAAACCGGTTTATAAGCTTCCCTATTACATTCCCATGTACCCCCAAACTGCACAGCAGACCCACACCTGTAAGTATGTTTCTCAACATGAGCAGACAACGTGCTCTTGCAGCCCAGAGGGCCAACCATATCCTGGGCTGCATCAAGAGAAGCGTGGCCAGCAGGTCGAGGGAGGTGATTCTGCCCCTCTACTCTGCTCTTGTAAGGCCCCACCTGGAATACTGTGTCCAGTTCTGGAGCCCCCAACACAAGAAAGACATGGATCAGTTAGAACAAGTTCAGAGGAGGCCACGAGGATGATCCGAGGGCTGGAGCACCTCTCCTGTGAGGACAGACTGAGAGAGTTGGGGCTGTTCAGCCTGGAGAAGAGAAGGCTCTGGGGAGATCTTATAGCGGCCTTCCAGTACCTGAAGGGGCTACAAGAAAGCTGGGGAAGGACTTTTTACAAAGGCAGGTAGTGACAGAACAAGCGGTAATGGCTTTAAACTGGAAGAGAGTAGGTTTAGATTAGATATTAGGACAAAATTCTTTCCTATGAGGGTGGTCAGAGACTGGAACAGGTTGCCCAGAGAAGTTGTGGATGACCCCTCCCTGGAAGTGTTTAAGGCCAGGCTGGATGAAGCTTTGAGCAACCTGGTCTAGTGGAAGGTGTCCCTGCTGATGGCAGGGGGGTTGGAACTAGATGATCTTTAAGGTCCCTTCCAACCCAGACCATTCTATGATTCTACTCATAACACATCCTCAGGCCCTTACTGGGGATGTATTCCTCATATTTTGCATGTGAACCTTTTTTGAACAGCTCCTAGAACAACTTCTACATACAGTTCTTTTCCACACCCAAATTTCAGGCCCACTCCCTTGCCCAGTTAGAGCACATCCCATTTCCTCTTGGGCCAGTCACCTCACTGGGCCCTCAGGAAGCCAGAAGCAGCACCAGCTGCACAGGTTTGCAGCTGCTCTGCCCGTTGCAGCAGGAACTCACTGTACCTGGCTCTTGGAAGAGTTAAGACCATGCCTCCTGAAGCCACATCAGGCACTGCTGACACTGTAGGTATCGCTTACTCATAGATGCATTTTTTGTTATTCGCATACCGTGAGTGGCATGTGGACCACCATGATTATAATTTTGCTAATGAATTTTTCTAACATTTCAAACAACTAAGAATTATAATTACCAGCAGTTTTGTTAAGATACAAAGAAGAGTTATACAAAGATATAAGCGGCAAACGGTTTTAGATGTTAGTGCTGAGACTCTTCATTTTGATAAAAATAATAATAATGGAGATACATATGTTCTGTTGTAAATCCTGAAGTTAACTTACATTAGTCAAAGAATTATATATGAAAAGTATTCTTCTTTCCCAAAAGACTTCTTGTCCTGACTACAGCAGGTTCACCATAACTTCAAGGGGAGACTGTCTCATTTGTAGGAAGGAAAAAAGGGTCAAAGCTCCTCCATAAGTTGTTCTATTTGCTGTGCCAGTTACTGACAGATACTTTTCCTAACAACAAGTCACAGAAAAGAAGAGAGCAGGAGCATTTCATGCAGTGATCACTGTTTCATAAACCTCTCCTAGAATTTGATCCCTCTTTTGTAAGAAACAGCTGGATCAAACTGTTTCTGAAGCTTCATTGCTATGGTGGTGCTTTTTCTTCTGTGTAAATCTTCAGTAAAACCTTTCCATCTGCAGAACACAAAATGAATGCTGATTGAGTGTGCATCATTATATCTGTAGCTTTCAGCAGTAAAGTCACCGTCTTAAAGACTCACTGACATAATCTTTCCTTTTGCTATATCAACCTCAAATAAAGACTTCAAGTGCTGTTTTTGTCTTTATATTAATCTTGAACAATATTGTGTCACATTATTTAAAGACACGAGGTTTACAATTAACCCTTCTGCAGACAATAGCATTTGGAATACATTAGCTGAAATTACAAAGAGGGAACAGTATTTCCAGTCAAGCTTTAATAGCTTACAAAATAAGTGGAATAGTACCTCATAGTCTGGGTTTTTCTCTGTGGAATCTGATTTTTATTTTTTATTTTTTAATAATCCTTCATCTGGAAAGGAAAAGTGAAAATATTTTAGTTTGGCTAAATTATCATCTTATGTAAAAATTCACAACAATGTGTTTTCAAGGTGTTTTTCATTCAAGGAAGAATGGCATTTTGGAAAGGTGATTTCTGCTTTTACTAAGCTGTTTCTTTTCCCCAACAGGGAAAGCAAGACAGTAAAGCAGTGGCTCCTCGATTCCCCAAAGTTAAAGATGAAGGATGGTTTTTGATATTGGGAGAAGTCGATAAAAAAGAACTCATCGCCCTGAAGAGAACCGGATATGTCAGAAATCGAAATACTATTTCTGTTGCTTTTTATACTCCAGAAACTCCTGGAAAGTATGACAAATTTACAAATTAAGTTCTCTTCATGATTACCTTTTCCAAGTAGTCAAGACCTAATTTCCAAACTAATGATTCTGCTTTTTACATTTTAGGTGTATCTACACCTTGTATCTCATGAGTGACAGTTACCTTGGAATGGACCAACAGTACGACATTTACCTGAACATTATACCAGCTCGTAGTTCAGCACAAGTCACAACAGAGGTGTCTGATGCCACGAGTCACCTGGCTCCTAAGTAAGGTGATCTGAAAAGTCCATTCAAAGGAACTGATCTTGCAGCTAAGACATCTGGTCATTCTGGACATCCAAAAATGCGTTTGCCTTAGTGGAACCAACTTCAAACCTCAACACAACTAGGCAGTTGAAAGTGACTACTGTATTGACTCTGGTAACACAGAGTTAGCCACAGTGGCCTTACTCCTTTATGAAGATTTGTCTTTTCTTGTTTCATCTTTCTTCTTTCAGAAGTCATATTGTTGATTGATTTTTGACACATCAAAATAAAAGACTAAAAGATACTGTAATTTGCGCAAATTTAGGGCTATGGTCTTCATTTTGAAAAGTGTTCTGTAGCCTATGTATTAATGCAGTTTAAATAGTCAACTTTTTTAATTTATAGGGAAAAATACAAAATTTGATCTACAAATTGATGAAAAAATTGATGGATGTGTTATATCTCATGTTTAATAAAAATATGTCCATAAGAATGTTTTGCATTGGATTTTTCAATGTAAAAGATGAGATCTATAGTAACAACATCCTCCTCTTGCGAAAATGGGACAATAATAGAAAAAGTTGTCACTGTATTTACAACCTGCTAGATAATACAACTGCCACCTTTGCCACTTAGACTTATATCCAAGATAATACAGAGTTGTGTCACATAGCAAATAGGTTTGTTTTTTTTCAAACTGGTAGGCAAAAGTTCGGTTATACACACATTTACTTAGTCCGACATTTTGATAGGCAGTAATCTAAAAGGAAGAATTTCACAAGTTTATATTAATTATACATGCAATAAATCTGGTTATAAAAGAATACTAAATAGTATAAAATATGGCAATTTATATAGATCATAATTAAAGCTTACCCTCTACATGTATGTATATATATACACACCATACATACATATTTACAATTTCTTTAGGTTTCTTTCATGAATTTTGAAGGACGAAGGCATATAAAATCAGGTGTCCTGTTCTGGGAGTCAGTGATAAAGTGCACAACTACATTCTGTAAATACGGGAGAGTGAGGCTTCAAAAACAGGGTTTATAACAGGTGGCTTGATGACCAAGGAACAGGTAGTGTCTAAGAGATGGCCAGCTCGTTGATAGTACCATAGAAGCACTTCCACCTGCAAGACATAAATCTGAAGGGAGAAGGTAGCAGCATCTATCTTTGGTGCAATATGGTGATTAGACCGCAGATCTGCACATCCTGAGGCCAGTCATCTTAAGGAGATCCAAGATGCTGAGCAAGTGCACGGAGGCAACATATTGCAAAAACATAACACATCTTCATTCAAAGAGACTAGACCTTAAACAGAATACTCGTATTTGAACTTCTTCAGCTTTGCATTTAGCAGAGGGGTCATTTTCCTATCACTTCCATTGTGTGTCTTTCACTAGATGAAAGGATACAGCAGAGTTGTTGCCTGGAAGCTTCCCCCCCAAAAAAAAACAATTACACTGGTGGTGCTGCACCCACAAAGAATCACAGAATGGCTGAGGTTGGAAGGGACCTCTGGAGGTCATCTGGTCCAACCTCCCTCCTCAATCAAGGCCACCTAGAGCTGGCTGCCCAGGACCATGTCCAGATAGCTTTTTAATAACTCCAAGGTGGGAGACTCCACCACTTCTCTGGATAACATGTGCCAGGGCTTGGTCACCCTCACAGAAAAAAAGTGTTTCCTGATGTTCAGAGGGAACCTCCTGTGTTTCAGTGGTGCCCATTGCTTCTGGTCCTGTCACAGGCTACCACTGAAAAGAGCCTGGCCCTGTCCTCATTAACATTTTCCATTCAGGTATTTAATGATGTTGATGAGATTCACCCCCTGGAACCTTCTCTTCTCCAGGCTGAACAGTCCCAGCTCTCTCAGCCTGTCCTCATGCAATAGGTGCTCCAGTCCCTTTATATTCTTTGTGGCCCTTCACTGGAGTCTCTCCAGTACATCCATATCTCTTTTGTACTGGGGAGCCCCAAACCAGACCCAGTACTCCAGGTGTGGCCCCAGCAGTGCTGATCACCTCCTTGGACCTGCACCTCTGCTACACTTCAGCAAAAGAAGGCTGGCTGCTTTCAAAGGGTCAATAGTTAAACATTAATTTATTTCATGTATATTTGGCACTGCTAAATTGTGAAAAAGTTTTTTAAAATAATCAGTGTGGTAGTTGAGTGTTTTCAGAGATCTTCACGTCACCTGATGATGTTAAAAAATTTCTATTTCATTATTATAGATTGACGTTATTGCCTAAGAAAATGGGACAATAATAGAAAAAGTTGTCACTATATTTACAACCTGCTAGATAATACAACTGCCACTTTGCCGTTTAGACTTATATCCAAGATAATACGGAGTTGTGTCACATAGCAAACAGATTTTTTTTTCAAACTGGTAGGCAAAAGTTTGGTTATACACACATTTACTTAGTCCTACACCCATTTTTGAGAATTGTTTTCTCTAATCTGCAAGTAAATTTTCACAGAAATTAAGTCCTTTCTTTGGGAAAATTCTTCGCTGAAGCAATATATTGTCCCTCGACAATTTTAATTAATTAGGAAAAAGAGCTATGCCACAGTCACACAACATAGCAGCACAGTGACGCTAGCTCTCTTGTTGCTTTGTAAATGCACATCTCAAAATAGTCTAACTGCAGAGTAGCAGACAATAGCTTCAGTATTGTGTATTAATCCATTAAAGAGTTTCTGTAATGTCATTTGTACCGTTTGTTCTTTGGTTTGGAAATGCTGTATTTAATTTCCTAGCATGTTAATTGCTTTTTAGAAACTGTTTGATGAAATTTCTAAATAACATATTTGAATTTTTTTTTTTTTTTTTTACAAAAGTATTGGATTCATGAAGACAAAGTCTGAAGTAATATAGAACAAATTTAAGCAAATTGATTTGAACCAGTATTTATCTGAAAAATCTGAGAGAAGGAATTCCGGTGCATTTGAAACAGCTGCTTAGAAGGAACAATCAATGTGTTCAATCCAGTGTTACCTAATGGTGGAAAGTGAGAATAGCTGTCTAACAAAAGTAACAAAATCAAACACAGGGAAAAAAAATAGAGATAAATACACTGGTGAGGTAATTATCACTATTATGGCTAAATGAGCAAACTGGCAGCACATACAGAAATTTTTAATATTAAGTCTCTCATTCCAGTTTGTTTGGGGTTTTTTTTTTCCCCTTCTGGGAGCAGCTGCAGATACCACCTGCCTGCTCAGGTGTGATATTTCTTCCAAAACTTGGAAAGAGCAACAAAAACCACGCACATCTTGTGTATCAAGATATATTTAAGTCTACTTATGTGACTTTATCCTTTCAATTTTACCCTGTCCTAATATGATAATAGCATCACAGCAGTACTTATCAGGAGCTAGAGGAGGTTTTGGGTATGTACAACCATCCTCCATCTCTTCTTAAGGAGCTCTTACAATGCAATCTGATATTTAGAACCTTACTTACGGCTTTGGTTCTAGTCCAAGTCCTAAATGTATCACAGTGGCACCATGAAGCCATCTTCAGTACTGCAGGTCTTTCTCTTCTGTTGGAAATGGGATATTTGGAGTCCCTTAATTCTACCCAGATTAATTCAGGGTTTTATGCTGCTGACCTTAAATTCCTCTTACTCAGCATTAGTTTGCTTCTAGAGACCATCTCTAGATGGTCATCCTGAAGGGAACTTTAGGAAGTCCCAGTCATCAACCTCCATCCTGGAGCCTAGTGTAAGACTTCAACATTCTCTGAATAGGCTGCATTTAAAGAAAGGTAAATTCTGTAATTCCAGTTTTCTTGTTCTGGGGGGTATTTACAAAGAGAAGGAAGTATCCTGAGTGCATCAGCTCTTGCACCTCACAGCCTGAATCCAAATGCCTATGATCCTCCTTCACTCAAGAAAAAGAGGCTGTGATATTTTTAAGACAGGTTGATGAACTGGTCCAACAGGCGTCACTTCTCTATCAAGAGGCTTATTGACTGCAGCCAGTTCTTAAATCTTCACTCTCTTAACTTGCCTCCACCCTCCCCTTTAGCTCCTTCCACTACCTGTACATGCTACAATCACACCTGTTCAGAGACAGTTATCCCTATTAGTGGCAGTAAATTATCATAGAAGGAATTTTTTAAGCTCATCTCTACGTGATGTGGTATGGATGCTATTCTGGCCTATGTAGTAAGTGCTGAAGAAGACAAAGTAAGGTAATACAAGCAAACCATGTACATTTTCTCCACATCTTAAAGGTCTCCATAAAAACATCTGAACTAATGCTGTGACTAGAAAAAAAAAATCTGTGTCATAATTCTGTAACCAGAAAGCTGAGCCACAGGTGTAAAAAGAAGCCACCCATCCATCCCAGTGTGCTTTACACCTCACATGAAATGGTAAATTTGTGTAAGTGATTTTTATACAAACTTCTTTATCCTTTCTTCCAGCTTCTTGCACACCTTTGGCCTTGTTTTAGTTGCTTACACACATCTATCTGGTACTATTTAGTATGCAATATCTCACCTGCCCTCTATATTCAGCTCCAGTCCTCTGCAGAGGACTCTCAAGTGTGAAACATGGGGCTGTTGTATCCGTGACTCTCTGTGGATGCCTCAAGTAACCCAAGGCATCTGAAATAGCAGATTCAGGTAACCAAACTGAGCCCTTATGACTTCTTTAGTCATAGGTAAGCAATTCAGTTGCTTAACTGTGTCTAATGCGCTTTAGAATCACCCAGGGTATTTCACCAGAAGACAGCAAGACTTCCATAGGTCCTGTGTCACTTCTGCTATCCCCAGGCAGGTATGCCAGTACCATGGGGTGGATTCCTACCTACTCAAGCTTAACTATCTGATCAAGCCCATGCTATTTTGTAAGTAAGGAGAACTATAAGTGTTGAAAATTCTCTCTTCCATAGTATAGTGAAAGCTATTTTATGAGAAGGGAGAATTCTCTTGCTTCATGAGAATAAATATTTTCTGAAAAAAAGGTTTGGATGCCACAGGATGCCCAGACAGACATGTGAGCTACTAATTGGAGAGCAGGACTGCTGCTGAGAACGGTCACTCCACAAGAAGCAGGAGAGGCCAGGAAGGCCAACAGCACCCTGGCCTGCATCGGAAACAGTGTGGCCAGCAGGATTAGGGAAGTGATTGTGCCCTTGTACTCAGCACTGGTGAGGCCACACCTCGAGTACTGTGTTCAGTTTTGGGCCCCTCACTACAGGAAAGACACTGAGGTGCTGGAGCATGTCCAAAGAAGGGC